GTAACAATAATAAGTAAAGGACATAAGCGAGGAAAAACAAATAGATTGTTAGTCAATACAGAACAACTATTACATCATAGATCAGTGATGTGAAAGTAAATTTCAAATATACTGAAACATAAATTCAAGGCTTAATTATTTTTTATTAAGGGAAGAGAGATGAAGAAATCCTATGGATGCTACTTCACACAAATTCCCCGTTAGATCGAAATGTAAGCTTGTAAAGCAATACATTAATAAATCCTAAGTCCGACATCTCGAAGCCTGGTGTGATTAAAGTTTCCTTAGGAATTCAGTCAACCCTTTTTGCATACTGAGAACAATTTGTCAATGTAGGTTGCTTCAGATAGTTATCCCAAAAGGAATAATTGATAATATTTGATCAATGAAAAGTAACAGAGGGCTATTAAGGCGACAAAATTGGTATAGTACAATTACTTATGATATGAACTGTAAATTTCAGTATTAATAATAATAATATTGGTGGTATATATGCAGTTAGTGATACTTAGTGACGCTAATAGCTAATTTTTGTTTTCGAAAATGTGTATTGAGTCGAATATATAACTGTAAGATAGATGAAACAACACTTTAGAGACGAATAATTTTATTCATGTGTAATTTGATGTATGCATATATGTAGTCTCGGAATAAGATTATGCATTACATGCACATATTAGGTATTGTTTTTCCGCAATGAGGATTAATTAAGAATATAAACTTGATGCATCAACAAGGATACATTGGAATACTGATAGTTTACGTCATAAGCTTTGACTAAATTAAGCACTCAGCATGCATATTTTTATTTTCACGCATATATGTAAGGGCTTACTTACAATCTGGAGAATATGACCTAAACGGAACGTCTAATAATAAGACATCTTCACCTAACCGATTAAAAAAATCAGGTGAGACACATTTCGTCAGTGAAGGCTTAAAATACAACAACACAACTAGTATAATTCCCCTTTGGTTTCGAGCAAAATATACACGGCCTCAGTAGCATATTTGCACTCCATTCTATTTTCTGAAGTTTTTTTTTAGCTAGATCTCCAATCGTCTTTTAGCAGCTCACATTTCCTTTTCACCTTCAAATGTTCAATTCCTCGTCACTCATTCATGTTGAGCTCAATGGCTTAGTGTATAGTGTCACCCAAAGGTCTCCTCAGTGTGTGTCTTATGCATTTCATTTTTCTTCTGTATATTTGTTGATCGGTAGGTTGTTCATGCCAAAACATGGCCTCATCACTCAATAAAATCCATAACAGTTAGTTTAAGCTACCTAGGAAGGTGTAGACTTCCTAACTGGTTGGGGTCCTCGGGATGGTAAACACCAGTAAAGGCTGGAGACAATTAGTGATATGGCTCAAAATCAATCTCAACGGTGCATACGCATCCAATCCTTGTGACTTATAATATCTAGTAAAACTCTTTTGTTCTTCAATATTACTATTCTTTTTATCTCATATCTCTATTTTGAATCTCATCTTACTTTCTTCTCTGGCTTTGTGTATTAAGTGAAGTGTGGCGACTAAAACTGCTTGACATCGGCGTAAAACTCTACGTTGAAACCAGTCAGTCAGTCATTAATTCGTTGACAGACTTTCTTTTCTTGCTAATTCTCTTGAACCATCTCATCTTCAATATGGAGTGGAGGACATCTGATGGCAGAAGTCGGTAATAGCCTGTTGGAAATGCATTTTATGCAACACATCAAGTCTGTGAACCCCATAGAGAAGCAGCACTGATCTGACATGAGTGCAATAGAAAGCGACACCTTAAGTGTGATAAAATTCCCTTAGTAACAGATGAGAATTAATAGTCATCTTTAGATAAATTATGTTCGAAGAAAGAGATGAGCAAACAAGGTGGTGACTTGGTTTGCTGTAAATCTTGACTAATTTTTACCGAATATTTATCTACACTCTACATTATACATCTATGCAGTATTCGATATAACAGATGAGTGAAGTAACCACCCTCCGGTACACACTGAATGTGAAAAGACATGAGATTTTATATGGATTTATAAAAAGAACAAAAGAAAAATGACAATGTTTTCTTCTAATGAAAAATTAATTTTTAAAATAACAAATTATTTGAAAAATAATATATATTAATAAAAAGAACAAAAACAAAAGTTACAAATTAGGAGAGATAAAGAAGACACCACTTTCTGCATACATTACACATGTGTTTAAGATATGTATGTATAGGGGTGTATATATGTACAAAAAAGGATAATACAAACTAATTAAAATCACAGTGACGACCAATACCTTCATTATCACGCATAATTGAGCATTGTATTATTATTATTATATTATTAGTATCAGATCTTTGATTGCTGAATGATAAATACATATTGAAAAGTGATATCAAAAGGAACATACATATATATGAGAAGAGAAATTAAGAGGAGTTAATATAGGTAGAAGACACCTACTGTCGTTCTAGGAGCACCCACAACAGGGGCAGCAGCAGTAATCAGTCAGTACAGACAATTTCGATGTAGACCTACGACAGGATGTATGTATATAAGTACCCCTGATCAAGAGAAAGAGTTTAATCAACTCTCCGATAGCTTAATTAACAATCTAATAATAACAATAATAATAATGATCAAGCTTAGAGGATGACTGACGATAGAAAAACCAACAAAGAAAAAAACAAGGAGATCATCACAAAATTGATAATCAATACCAAAAAAAACAAGAGAGGATGAAATCGATTTTCCACAATCACATTTGTTATTGGTTGAGAAAGAATTATGTAAAAACACAGAAGAGAAAAAAAAGAGAAGAACCGGATTCTACTTTGAGTGTCTTTCCACCAATTAGGCATAACAACTTTCTTTGTCTCTCACCCTCTCTCTCTCTCCATCTCATGATATGCATGATGAACAAGCGTCGGTTTAGTGTAAAAAAAAGAACAACCCTAGGCACAACCTTATTTGAACGCATATACAAGAAGGATATGCGTGCAAACACAGATAGATAGGAAGATACGTTGGGCATATATAATGGATAAAATAGAAAATAAAACTTATATGAAAAAAAGATATTGAAAAAATAAATCAACAATACGACGAGACAGAATGAGGATATTTCGCTTCTTTATCTTCTTCTACGTCTGAATTGACTGACTGAATTGGTTGGTTGTTGAGTTGGTTAACTGATCAATTGATTTGACCTTCAACATTTATTTTCTAGGCGCAACTGTAGCCACAATAATGATAATGATAATGGCTACAACACCACAACAAACTCCAATAATAATGAATTTTTTCTATTTATTATCGTATAAAAATTATATTGATAAAGACATAATGATGACGATGAAACAATTAAATATAATTTATATATAATGATGAGGAATTTCGCCCACAAAAATTATAATGATAATGATTGATGGTGGTGTTTAATGAAGATGACGACCGCCACACGTCGAGGATGATAGTGATGGTGAAATTGATAATGAGGATGACGGCACACACATGCAGAAAGTAAATAAAAACATTAATTAAATTAGTTATTAATATATATATATATATATATATATATATATATATACAAACTCAAAATAAAAAGAACAAAAAAACAACAACAACATATGAAAACATACACGGAAAACACAATGAGTTAACGGAAAAGGGGTTAGGTGAATTGAAAAACTCAAGACCAAGAAATAAAAGAAAAGAGAAGAAAAACCTCCACTATTTTTGAACCGACGAATGACTGGATAGATGACGTATAGATCCTAGGAGCAGTGAAATTTGTGGAATCTGTTCTCCTAAAATGTTTATCTATCTAGTTAAACTATACAGATTGAAGGTTTAATATTTTCCTGTTAAGTGTGAAATCATTTTACGTCAGATTACAGAAACAAAAGTTGAGACCAATAATTTATTTATTTCATTTCATCAGCGTCGGTGGCACAGTGGTTAGGACGCTCGCCGACTATGCACATGGTCTGGGGTTCCATCCCCGGCCACCGACGCACTCCTTTTGCCTCGCCAAACCAGTAATAAAGCTGGTAAAGAGATAAAGTTGGGCTTGAGGCTAGCAATCCAATCCTGTAAAAATTAACACTGCTACAGAAACTTCAGGCCCCTAGCTTGAAGCTCTATATTCCACTGGGAACGTGAAGGAATAATAATTAGGAATTTCCAAGGTGATCAGATTACGTGAGAAAAAGCTCATATAATTCATGAAAATGTATCAGTTATTCACAATTGATGTCTATTGGTTGATGGTGGACTAGCAGTACAATTCAGGATGTACACTTTATTCTACTTGGGACTCATCAGATGCGTATAGTGATGATGATGTTCCCACTGAGAGTTGAACCCTGCAGTTATCGTTAAAAACTCCAAGGTCTTATCCACTAGTCGACCACCAGGGTGTTTGAAAGGATGGATATAGAATTCGAGTCTCAGTGGGAACACCACTGGCGAATGCAGATACATCCAGTCTAGATTCCACTGCTAGTCACCATCAGCCAAGATAACATGACATTAGTACCCAGACTACTGGGTGGCTGACATGTCAGCAGAAACCAAGATATTTCTGTCCAACAAAGTCAATCAAATCAACAGAAATTAACCCTAAATACAAATATCCACAAGTGAATTGAAAAAGTATAACTCTTGAGTAGGGGAGCATTAAGAAAGACAGGAGAATTCCTAGCAGCATGTTTGTTACTTGGGTGAGTCTGCAATATATATATATCACCATTATAATTCATCACTGCTCAACAGTGAAAGTTGCTATACTTTAGAATACGAAACCAAGTGGAAGGTAAAATGAGATAGAATTCAGTACCTGGAGCAGGCCTTCTATGTTTCCACCTGTGTCACACTTATTATGATATGCGTCGGTGGCACAGTGGTTAGGACTCTCGACGACCATGCACATGGTCCAGGGTTCGAGCCCACACCGGCGCACACCAGATATCTATGGTCGGCCTGCGAAATTCGGGCTACCGATATCCACGCTGAAAATTCCATACTTGTACCAAAGATACAGTGTGGAATCAAGCTGTTACCAAAAAAAAAAGAATGAAGATATTGCTCGGTAACCGGAGCTACAGTGTGTGTGACAGAAAGTGAACTCAGATTTCACTGGCTGAAAGTCAAGCTCTTCAGCCAGTGACTCATATTTCCACGACATACGACAGAGGGAAAGGATATCAAGAAATGGGCAAACCAGCATTTGTATAATGTTCTAAAGGCAGTTAAAAAAATTCAATCGAGTAAAATACCAAAACTTTTACTGAACATTTTAGTCTGCAGAGTTTTAATCATAAGGGGAAAGAAATGTGTTGTGGAATATCTAAACATTGTAGACGAACAAAACATGTAGGTTTTGAAGAAAGATGAAAAAGGTGTACATTTTTTTATAGAGAATTCAAGGTACTCCTACAATTCTGCACCTTTTCGCATCTATACACACATTAACCAAAAAATCACTTCATTCAGTTCTATGTCAACCAAAAGACTCAACAACGAAAGATGATAAAACCAACATCATCTACACAACAAATTGCAACGACTGCGAAAAATACTATAATGGCCTCTTTAACTTCGCATCCATGATCACTAACTAACCGTCAAAAGACATGATGTCCACTCCCTCATTTCGCTGAATAAAAACAACTACGGACACCGATTCGACTGGGACAACGTTCAAATATTAGACAGATGAAACACAAAGAACGCTAGAGAATTCTTAGAAACCTGGTATTCCAGTGAATCGGAAATTAACAGACTCATTAATATGGGTAAAATTTACCAATCCACAAGAGGAATACCTCATGCACAAAATGTCAAACTTCAAGTCAAAGAAACATTCAATACCAATGCAATTAGACTAGAGGGTGTGAAAACAGACAAAAGCAACCAGTCAGGTTCAAGGTCACCAAGAGAGATGATTAGTAAACCCATGGAGAAATTTGAAAGTTCACTTAGAATTGAAGTATGCACTGAAGATGTTGCCTAGTTGGGAGATGGAAGCTTCGCAAATTAACTATCCAGCTCAGAGAACACAACCACATCAAAATTATCCACCTAAGCTACAAATCTTCTTCACTATATCCATACGAATAACTATAACAGAAAAAGAGGGAGTAACATCTACGCTGAAATCTGATTAGGTGATTGAAGACAATCAGTGGGAATAATTCTGAGCGTAACATACATGACACTCACTGATTACTTTCCCGAGTGAATCTTATAATCCTGGCTTGAGCATATATAATATGTAATCATATATCCAACATTAGGCGTATACAATAAAACTAAATATTTAACAAACACATAGAAGAAGCGAAATACACAATAAAGCCTGACTGGATCACACCAACAGTGGAGGATGAAGAGTTGGGAAATAGAACGGAAACAAGCAGTCAGAAAAATGAAGCATACAGAGAAGCTGGAAATTGTGAAATCCACAGAGACAAAAGACGAATTTCAGAATTTTTGAAGTTGGAGACTAAGTAAAGCGTACAGAAAGAAAGTACACAGTTGAAGGAGCGCAGAAATATCCCTTTCAATATGTAATGACGACTGAGGACGCCAAAAAACTTTACCCTTCAAACATTAGTAAACCATATCATCATCATCATCATCATGATTGTCACTGTTTGACAAATGAGAAACTCAAGAATATACCTAGAAAAAAGTTTAACAATACTACTGATGACGGGAAAAAATCGCAAAGGAACGATTACTATTCATCATATATAAAGTTTTGCTGTACCATAATATATTAAAGAATACGAATTAAAACAAGTTTTTTAAAGCCAGGATACAAATACATGCACGTTGTTTGATTAAATTTAATAATTTAGTCTATTTTGAACAGTTTTTCCACGGTCTGATGAGATTATGTTAGAATATAACAAACTTGATGATATTAGATGGTTGGAGGCAATAGGCAGAAAGCCTTGGACCTAGGTTTCGTGCAAGTTGGCACTCAACAGTCAGCTAAGCGTATCTGCAACTTTGAAGGAACTCATGTCCCTTCTGAAATTCGAAACCACGTCACCCAGTACCGCCTTCAGTCAGAGACGTTGTCGTTGAGCTATTCAGGTTCGCGATTGACCTCCTGAGCCAAGTAGCACGGAACCCTAGTGGAAGGTTTCCTACCGATTGTCTCCAACCATCTAATATCATCAAATCAATGTGCACCGTGATGGCGGGGTACTTAGAATGGTGGCTACATTGCAGACCTGACTGACAAAATTCAGTCTGCACCAAGCAAAGGACTAGACACGGCACACTAGTTACTAGTGTCCAATCAAAATATAACAAACTGTCAAAGTATACACACACTTATACACAACCTGAGAATGCTATGTTGAAACTATAGTGGCGTAGTTTATAAGTTCGGAATGTTGAAGAATCCCAAACTAGACTGCTTTCTGGGTTGTAATAATTCTCTAACTAATTTCGATTACTGAAATTATTGATTTGATAATATGGGTAAAAATGAATAACTTTCATGGATGATGATGTTTAAACGATAGAAGTAAGCAATAAGAAAACGTAGAACTCTGATGTATTCTTTTCTCTAGTATAGTTTATCAAACACTAACGTTCTATAGTTGGTTTGTAAGGATTAGTTTTGTTTTTTACGAGTTGATCGCGGATTGATATCAGTTAGGGAACCATTGAAAACCAGCACTGGAGTACTGGACAGCTGTTTCCTCCATCATAGTTTGGGAATCATCGGCAGTACACACACACTGGGTTCCGAACCCGGGACCTTCCAGTTACAAGGCAAGCTAGCTTGTATAGCATTCGGACACTGGTAGAAATCCGTGGTCAACTCGTAAAAAAAATCTAATCCTTACAAACCAACTAAAGAAAATTAATCCTATGCTCGCTAGTGACTTGCTACATGACAGAGTTTCCTGGAGTTCTAGTAAGAAGTCTTGCCCAGCGAGGTCCATCCAGATGTCACGTGTGAGGATGGATGTCCCACCGATGACATTGGTTGGGGTCACGCTAAATCACAGATTGATACGAGTTATAATTCATGGGCTGGTCATCGGATCGGTTCCCAGTGGTTGAATGGTATACGAGCTTGCTTACCTTGTAACCGGAAGGTCCTGGGTTCGAGCTCTAGCAGTGGGTGCGTACTTCCAGTACTCCCTGGGTTTCAATGGTTCTCTAAGTAATATCAATCCGTGATCAACTCGTGGAGACAAAACACTAAAATCTTTATAAAAGTGTCCGAAAGTGTTGTTTAGTGGATAGTGGAATCTAGGATCCACATTTCATCTTAGTTGAGACTCGTCAACAATAGAAATCAAACCTCTTGTTCCAGTAAAAAGAAATCAATAAACAGCAAACTAAAGAGAATAATATCAATAAATAATATATTAAGAGTAGACGGAAAACATTTTGAACAACGTATATGTGAGACGGGATGCGTAAAAATGATAAACATAATGCTGAGAATCACATGGTAATGAGATAATGTACACAGTCGCCTTGAGTCGATGCACACAATTAAACAGCTAATATATATATATAAATATGTAAATAATATATACATAAAAGAAACGAAAAACACAAGGAAATAACTAAACAAGAATTGCCACATACAACAACCATAACAACAATGAATCAGTTTACAGTGATCAGAAAAACTGTGGAGGATTGAAAAAAGTGTATATAATTATATGCATATACAAAATGTATATGTTTGCAAATTACACATAGTAGGCTGTATATGCATACTAATAACCATATTAGCTAATAATATTAAAAAGAATATTTGAGTAATATAAGTGATCATTAAAGATGGAATCAAAGTCTTAGAATCGGCTTTCATCAGATTACTAGGCCAGGTAAGTCGTAGTTCAGGAGGTAGAGAACCAAGGTTAATACTCCGGAAGCTACTGGTTTGAATCATGAGGCGATACAGATCTTCACTTCATCTTCAATCATTACTTATTGTTACGTAATACTTAAGAAAACGATTTGACCAAGAAAAGTGAATATCTACACTATATGACAATACACTTATTTTAGATTTTGATTAATCCCAGTGTAGATTCTATTAAGAACCAATATAAGTTGGAGAACCATTGAAAATCAAGGAGTAGTGGATAGCAAATACAGTCTAGTTTGGGACTCTTAAGAATTGCGTATGCACAATCGCAAAGGGGATCGAAATCAGGACCGTCATTTTAAGAGGCCAGCTTGTTGATCACTGAGCTATTGTTAGAGCTGACTTTCATAAATTCGCTTCATCACTAACTAATATCATCCCCCTGACATGGAGTACCTCACTAAATAACGACTCATAGATGTCACTGGCTGGCGGCTGAGTTTTTTATTACAATTGACAACTTTAGAATTGATAGCTTGGGCATTACATTCCGTTCCAGTAGCTTTATGGTCAACAGGCGTAACCCGTAAAATGAAGGTCCTGTATTCAATCCACAGTGTGTACTGATGAAGAGTTCCAAACTGGGACAAAAAGGCCGTCTAGTTTTCTGAGATACTCAATGCTTCTCTAACTGATGCCATTTCGTGATCTAAATATAAACCAGTCAAACCACTTAGATGCAGATAATGTGATGGATTATTGACTACAAAACAAAAAAGAGCGATAACTTACCTTCCGAGATTTTTTCTTATACACGACTGCTTTTTTAGTTTCTTGTCGTGCTTCTGCAACATAATCTTGTGTTTGTTTTACGTTGATATCGATTCGATCAATCAGTTCGCCCTGTATATAGTGTAAAATCAAAGTAATTACAATAATTTAAATAACTGGACATAGTATACTAGTTAAACTAAGAGAATTGGTCAATATAAATGGTCATTATTGGGTATATATATGAATGATAAATCAAAAACTCCTGACCCAATGGATAGAGCTTTAACATTTGAGGAGATAGTTACTGGGTTCAATTATCACTGGTAACACTATCGTTCGCGAAGAACTAGTACATTCAGATAGTGAGTCCCACACAGGACGAAGTGGGCGTCCTGAGTTCTACTGCTGGTCATCACCAAACAAGGAATCTCAGGTCACTTCCCAATTCTGTGTGTATGCTGAAGTAACTACATTGATCAAGGTAGATCATGCGACCATTAAACTGACCAAAATGAACTTTCACATCTTCATATGATAATATATGTAAGAAAATGTCCATCAATTAATAGAATCCTCCCCATCTGAATTCCCCCACTAGTTAACAATCATTAGTAAGGCGTGTCTGTAATTAATTTATGTAATTACCATTAGTAATTCCATTCACCTTATACTGTTTAACAATGAAAACGGTCAATGAACCGGGTGACATTAACAGAGAGAATCGCAAAACGGAATGGAGCTTATTAGGGGTCACGTTATGGTTTGACCACCATTAGATCTTTTCAAACCTAATCCTATGTCAGCTAACATTGGCCGTCGAGGAAAGCGATGGCTAGGCATGCGTAAAACATGTCCTAAACATCGAAAATGATGTAACTTCACAACCTCAGCAATTGATTTTCCCTCCTTAACTAGCACTCAACGCCTAACTTCAATATTGCTCACCCTATTATACCAACTAACACGGGAAATAGAACTTAAGTACTTATGATCAAAGACAACTAGCCTTTTCCACCAAACATATCAAAGATTATCTTGGGGCTTTTATGTAATGATGCCAAGGGATACACAGTGATTGATGCATTCAACTGTCAATCAAGGTAAAATAATCAGTATCTAGATATGGGACTGCGTTTTAGAAGTTTATACGCACGATACAGTCATTCTGATAATTCTGTCTTCTAAATAACGGATGAATTTTTTATTCTACTCGAAATGAAAGTTGATCAAATATGATATTGGAAATTATGAAGAGAGTGATTACGGATATGCAACTTTATAAAAACAATTTCTTTGGTGCTGTATCCATGTATAATCTTTCACTTTCATGAGAGTCATTGGCTTCCCAGAGAAGGTTAGTCGGAGTTCAGCCGCGAAGGTTTTCTTCAATGAGTGGATGAGGCGGTTTCTCAGTGTATCTGCTGATGAGTCTCTGTTGAATTATAGATTCAAGTAGAAACTCGCTTTGGGAGCAGAAAGTGAGGGCGGTTCAAGTGGTTTTGTTGGTGAAACGTTATGGGTAGCCATTTCGGAGTGTTCACATCCCCTTCTATACTGTCATGACTGCAAATTCCGCTGATTCTATGGCTCAGTGAAAGGATCAGGTTTCTTTTCGTACACAGAGGCACCTGATTATGAAAGTAAGTTGTTCGTCCCATTTCTATAGATGGACCTTCTTAATGTTCCGTCTTGTTCACGATTTGTTAACTGCACGTCCACTAAAGATATTATTGTATTGGACTCCTTCTCTAAGGCGAACTGAATCGCAGGATGAAAATTATTGAAAAAGTTCAGGATGTCCTCAAATTTTTCTCCTTATTAGAGATAATGAAAGTATCGTCCACGTATCTTTTGCAAAAAGGGAAGCTAAACGTGACGTATAAGCTACCACTGTTGACTAACTCATCCATGGGCATCTACCAATTCACCTATTTGTGTGGAGCTAAGTATGTCGGCAATACCCAGCATTTCCTATCCAAACCTATCATCGGACACTTATCTACAGTCATGGTTTTATAAAAGAGATAAAAGATCCCCCCTCCATAGCTCTATCCTGGAACATGTGATCGAATCGGTGCACCATGTTAACCCACAAAAACACTTCAAAGTTATCTACAGAATAATACGCGGGAATTTGGTTAAAAGAGTACGAATCAAACTTCTTCAAACCGCAGAGGCAATGGAGATTCACATACTAAAACCTGAACTCTGCATAAAAAAGAAGTTTGTCCCGTCACTAAATCTACAATGAACCTGACCTACTTTAACACCAAATACGTAATTTTTGTTTCGTTTTTTTTGCTTGTTTGTTTCTTAATTGTATAATATGTTTCCCCCACCCCTTATTAAATCTCTACCCCCTGATTACCACTGTTTTTAATTTGACTTTTGTTCAGTTTTAATTTTAGTTGAGATCTACTCAACCCCGTCAATTATATTACGTCACTCAACTTAATCAATTTTATTCTAATTTCAACTTGATTAACGCCTTCTACACTACGTAATTTGTTGTTTTCGCTGAATGGCTTTCCATTTGTACAGATAAGACTAGAAAGATGAATGGCATCATTAAACGCTACATGTTTCGACTAGCTGCAGACCTCAAATTCCAACGGTTATACTTCTTTACTGGAAATGATAAAGATAACATGTTGGAAATTAAGGCAGCCGAAATGTTAACATCACCACTTTTAGTTTAAGTTAGTAACAGTTTATATGCATTGTAAAATAGAAAGGTGAGGGGTGAAGAACAAGACGGGAAACAGAAAAATCTAGTAAACACTACTGGCTTATGAGGTTGAGTGATAACTGAGGAGAATTATGTTTCATAAGAATGAAATCATTTCAGTGGACTGAAATCACAAATATAGATAATTAGGCTCTCAGTGGAACCATAATAGACATGCGATAAATGCGATTGATCATGTTCTCCTTCTGTATCCACAAATTTTGATTGAACATATTTGATTACAATCGTTTCTGTAAATTGTAATAAATTTTGATGTCCTACGCACTCTTAATATTTTTAAAGGATTTGGAAATCTCAGGGGAATTACCCATATCCACAATGCGTCCGGCATAACCTGCTTCCAATTAGGCACATATTTTTTGGAATACACTCAAAAATAAGCGTAGAAGCTCTTCCTCATGTCTTTCCAGTGTACTTGCTACCACAAGTGCGAATTTGATCTTCCTTGTTTTATGATTATTACTGCTTCGGTTATTTCCTTGAATTTAATAAAGTGTACAGTTATGAAGGCTTTTACATAAAGGCTAATGAGAGCAAACCATTACTTTATATTGCCGAATCAAAAACGTCAACTGACAGTATATTTTCTACAGATGTACACGCGTTTTAATATGAGTGGGTGATATACTTACAATTTGATATGCAGTGTGCTTTTTTATACAACTGTATTCGCTTCTCGCCAACCATGAAAACATCAAACACTTGACAGACACCTTTATTTATCCTTCCTTTGTCTTACACCACTTATCATTTTTGTTCACTGTTGTAGTAACTAATAATCTACACTAACCTAACTCTAAGTAAAGTAAGACACTTAACGTGTCTATGTACAATAGAAAAGGGAATGAATAATAGAAAGTAGTTTTTGATCCAATGAAAGCAAAAAGGTCAGTAACATTATCTCTGATTGTAACACTGAGTAGTGATGAGGATCAGAATCTCCAACGAGGACATATTCCTTGCTGACAAAGACCAGTCAAAAACCAAAACTTAGATCAGGTAGAACTTGCTGCCAGTTACCATCAAACATCAAATCCAAATGCACCATAGTGATGATTTACCTAACTTGGTAACCACCTCCCGACCGATAGCTGCTACCTTGACGTGGTGATCGGGCTTACACATCGCGATGACCCAACAAGCTGCACTGGCTGGAACCAATGTTCCTGCAGGCCATACCATCCCAGGAAGGTTGTTAGGATAGCGATTAGACTAAAAGCAGTTACCAGTATTGTGCAAGAATCTTTCTTACACTATGCTGGGGGTCTGAGGGCGAAGTTGTACTGCTGGGGAACAGGGGTGTAACAACAGTGAGGTGTTTCCCTCAGATGACCAGTATGCCAGCCAGCTATGCTGTCTCTCCACTCCGGAGAGAGGGGGTTAGAAAAGGTCGACCCCAAAAATTGTACATCCCGACTTACCTTATGGTGGTTCGTAACCGGCGGTAAGTTTACTAATACGGAACCAAACCAACAAACCAGTTCACACAGACAGTGTGTGACCGGCCTGAAGCAGTTGTCCCCTGGGCTCCGCGGTCACGCAACACTAACCCTCTTTCTGTCTCAGGTACCCGAAGAATCAATCAACTTCCACGGTGTGGGCAGCCGCCCAGACACTTCCAAAAGCACACGAAGCCTTTCTGAGCATCACTTCCACTGGTAACCAAGTGGGCACCAATTACTCTATATTAAGGGGACTGGACCACATGACAGAGGTTAAACGGTGGTGACTAAACAATGCAAAAGAAATAATTCTATAATCAGAAGTGAAAAACAGTAAACACACCTGTGTTTCAACTAAGGAAGCCATGTCTAAAAATAGCTCGTGTAACTCTCGGATACTCTTCTCCAAATTAATAATATCCATATGACGTGCTTGAATGTCTGCGAGATTTTGACGTGCTTGTTGAGTATCTGTTAAGATCTAAAATAGAATATGGGATGGAAAAAAAGAGACATAATTATCTAAAAGGAACAAAAGTAAAAGCTAAATAGTAACATAAACTTTTAAATTCCGTTTAAATATAGGCGTGATAATTACTTGCATAATAGGATTGAGTAGTCATGCGTTTTTGGAGGACAAAAACGTATGTGTTGAAGACTCAATGACAGAATGCTCGCCAACTACGTGAGAGGCTTTGTTTCGACTCCCGGTTGACGCAATCATACAGCCCTCTTAGTCTACTAGCCGACAGTAAGCCCGAAAAAAGACGGCGGAGGAGTGAAGCTGAGATTTTTATCTCAGAAAAACGACACCATGACTACTGAAACGTTAAAAGCTTGAGAACTTATATTCCACTCAGAACGCAAGGATTAAAGAAGGAGGACAAACAGGAAATGACTTTATTTTAATAATAATAACAATAACAATAAAAACCCTATTTTTTTAAATCTCAGACAATTAGAAGTAGTGAAGTTGGCGCCGAAGATGTTGTTTAGAAGAACAGTGAAAACAAGGATTAGGATATAAGTATAACCAGCTGAGATAATACACACACCAACTTTAAACAATAAGTAGCAATCACTCCCTGGAAAGCAAGTATACCAGACCATAAGCCGTAAATTATCGTTAGCGTAAGTCGCCGCCGCCAAAACCAAATAACACACAAAGTTCAACTTCTACTTCGATTACTCATAACAGTGAAATATTATCGCGCGTTTCTCTCTTTCTCTGTCACTAATACACTATGCAGATTCAGAAAAAAGTAGGAGGTCCCACACTTAACTATTTCCTGATGATATGTATAACGAAAATGATAACTGAATACTGAGGTAAGTGTACTTGCTAGGAGAGCGAACACTTAGCATTAAGGAATATTCATCCACAAAATACCTGATATTAACTGACAGTGACTTATATTAACTAGTGTATGAAGGAACTAAGTTGTTTCTGGATATTAACTACAATTTGAAAATAGTAATAACTCAAAAGTTGGGTCATTGGAGATTTGATTAAGTAGATTTTATCACAAACCGACTATGAGTTAGTGTTGGGACAAAAAGAGAGGTATATTACGACTCAGTATTTCACATGTGATCTGTAAAACTAGACAATTGACTGTAACCCCGGTTCAGTCACAGCAGTTTTCATTTATTGAACTTCTGATTTATTAGGCACGCAAAGTAAGCATATAATTAGCTGCAATTTCTGGTCTTATTGTCTTTCCCTTGGAGTAATATTTTCTTATCTCCTCAGTTAGTCTTCTGCATCTTCTCAGTATAAGAATGGTAATCAAACCATGAGTTGTATATTATCGAAAGTTGAAGTAAACGTAGAACGAACGCAAATCCAGTATTGTTTTGGATACAATAGTTAGAAAAACATGAATTACTGCGACCAAAACTTTCAGGTTACACGAATTCAATCTTAGTGGGGTTTGTCAGTGCACACTGTTGAGAAGTTTCAAGGAATGAATAAAGCATCTGTCTGGTGTCTTATAGTTGTTATCAACTCTCCAATACCTGATGTTGACACCTGATGACAAAGCCTACCACCTTGGAGGGAATAATTAGAAGAACAAACAAGCCCTATCCTTTAGCATAAAAGTCTACGCCAAGGAAACTCCTGAAGGACTAGACGGAGGACAAAACGTATACATTCCAAATGCGTATTATCCAAACAAATAAGGAAATTACCCGCCAGACATGCTTCTTACTTCTTAAATTAAATATATTCACTACAAAGAGAAACTTATCAGACAGCCAGTGATTCGAACAGAAGCTGTTCATCAAACAAAAATAATTCCAACAAAAAGTAGACTTTCATAGACACCTGTCTTTGCTCAACAATGAATGAAGATCAGATCGCCAAAAACTATAAGCAACAAGAGAGACTAGCACCGAACCAACCAAGAACCAATTCCCCAATAAATAAGCAGAAGGAAATGAAGATGGATTGAACATAAACTAAGCAGGCAATCAAGTGGCATCATTAGCCAGTCGCTTAAGTGGAACTCAAATAAGAGAGCAGCTGATGAGACGTCCGATGGTGACATGTAGAAAATCATGTGGAGAGGAAACAAAAGTGTGTAGCGAGTGGTGGAACCAGTTAAAAGCAATATCAGAAAACTGAGTGCAATGGAGATATATGTGGTTGAAGCCCTATGCTCCCTACACTTGGAACGTCAGTAATCCACAGTAATGAGAGTCACAGACTATGATTCCCTCAGTGGAAATATACGGTACTCAACTTTACTTCACACAGTCCAAGGCAACTGGGTGTATTATTAGCCATGACACAATAACTGTGGCTCACAGATAGTCTGATCTGGGAAACTGTATTTTGGATTACTGTGTTGATCAAAAGATCACTACGGATTCCCAAACACACTCACTCACATACACACACAAACACTGAATATGAAACAAAGTATGCAAGACTATGAAACCAAGAGGTTGTTTTCTTATGGAAGGGATAACGTTGAATGACTGAAAAAGTATCTAATTAATAAGGTAAGTAAGCACTTTTGTATCAGCTTCATTCATTTAGTACACATTCATGCATATACGTATTTATTTGATTTAGTTTGTTTTTTAACAGATAAGCAGAAATGTTTCATTATTATTATTATTATTTTTGAGAATTTCTCATCACTAATTAAGTGTTGAGATGTGAAGAACAGAAAAGAACCAAACAGCCTATACGTGCGTGGATGATAATGAAAATTAAAAAAAAACAAACGTTCAATGGAATAACAAGCAATATTAAAGTTTTGTTTGTGTATGTGTACAGAGGTAAGGGGCATATATTATTTAAAAATATCACATACAGAAACACAGAAGAAAAGAATACCAGCGATACATACATAGATAACAACAAGAAAACATCATAATTTGAATACAATAGAGCCAGGGAACAGTAACAATAATAATAAAAATAATCATTTAAACAACGAATAACCATGGCGACGATAACAATATACAAAGAAGTTTATACACATTAAACGCAGAAGATATTGAATTCTTAAAAACGTAATGAAATATACTTCTACTGTAATTACTAATGAGTGTTGCTTACACACCCCGCCTAACTTAATCGCCTTTTTGTGTTATGCAATACGGTGGATAAAAAACCACCTTTGAACAGAATAACGTGAATAGTGATTCTTGTTTTTCAAGGAATAAAGATGAGGAGTCAACCACCCAGAAAAGATCTTTCACTTATGTACCAAGGCTAACAACTATGGTTATCGTGCAAAAGCTGACTGATACTATCTAGTTGCATAGTCTGGAAAAGGTGGAGAGGGAATAAACACTTGGTGAGTTGACTGAAAAACCCGAGCTAATTTTCTACAACACGAGTATCTATATACCAGGGTGAGTCTGTCTGTCTGTCTGTTTTCGACATAGAACTTTGCACAAATGTGCGGAAGTTCAAGTCGCCACACTCCGCGTAGCACGCGAAACAAGAGAAAGTACAAGAAAAGCATAATAGAGACAGTGAGCAGAGGTGTGAGACAAAGGAATAGTAATAACGAAGAACAAAACAGTTTCATTGGAGATCATAAGTCACAAGGAGTGGATGCATCTGCGCCACTGAGAACGATTTTGAGCCATGTCACCAATTGTTTCCAACCATAGATTTTTACCAGGGTGAGTGAAGAACTACCGATCCTGTGAAATCTCCCAACAAGGCATTTAATTGGTTACAATATTGAAGGTGTTAGCCAAAAAGAAATGAGAGCATCAAGAACTTTGAAGATTTCACCAAACAAGCAAAGTCGTCATCAGCAATTGTTGTTAGAATTCGTTTTGACTGAGAACAAATTTCTCGTATACCAGTCGCAAGGATTTACGTTTATTTTATGAAGGCTAATGATACTACCTAATTGTCTAAATTAAGGTAGGTGCGACGGAGTTTAAGCCCCGACATCTCAACTGGCTGAAAGCCAAGTGCTTAAACCAATGAGAAACATCTCCATACTAGTGAATATTGAATTGGTTCGAAGATTTCATCATGAGCTCATATCAGTTGAGGAACCATTAGAAAACCTTCAGGGAGTACTGCCAGAGAGCTGTTTCCTCCATCCTAGTTTGGGACTCTTTAGGAGTACTCACCTACCGCCAGGGTTCGAACCCAGGACCTTCTGGTTACAAGGCGAGATAGCTCATAGACCATTAAGCCACTGGGACTCGATCTAATGTACCATGAATTCTAAATTCCACCAACTCACGACATAGCGCGATCATGAATTAGCGGACGTTAGAATTCATGGACTGGGCATTGGATCACGTCCCAGTGGCTTAATGGTCTACGAGCTACCTCGACTTGTAACCAAAAGGTCCTGATTTCGAAACCTGGTGGGTGCGTACTGACGAGGAGTCCAAACTAGAATGTAGGAAACAGCTGCCTGGCAGTACTGCCTGCATATTTTCCAATGGTTCTCTAACTGATGTCCACCCATGATGAAATCCTTCAACTAATTAAACAAAATCCCTACAAAACCAATACTTGAAAATATTGGATTAATTTATCATCATATCTGCTCTAGCTAGCTGAAATTATTCCTCAGATATCCTATCAGTAGTACAGGTTAAAGAAAATAAGTAACGCTAAAACCATTCTGATACCATTTAGTTGGTAAATACAAAAATAACGTAACAGTGTATCTTGATCGAAGAGTAAGCGAAATTGGTGATAAAGTTATTCACCATTGACTTTGTTTGATAGTATTTTCCGCTTAATTTTGGACATGTGTCAAGAATGCGAGATGTTGTTACCGCTGTTGTACAAATCAAGTCAAAAGTTCTAAAATTATCCGACAACTTATTCATTCATATCCACGGGACTAAGCATCAGTTTCACTTTAATTACAATGATAAAAACATCCACCATGAGCAAAGAGTTTTGAGGCCTTGCACTTGACTATGAGACATAACTTAAGGAGACTAGGACTGATAGTACTACTCCTCAATTGTTCAGATCTCAACACATGAAGTACGGCTCGAACATGTAGCTCAACAACTGAACTCTGAACGGAAATATAACACGAATAAAACTAAAATTCTACATTTTTAAATAACAGTATCACCTTAAGCTATCCGCTACACCCAGTTAAGAGCATATACACCATTGTAATTTAACTTAAATGATATTATATACAAATTAGATTAGGAATTCATATCAGTTAGAGAATCACTGAATATCAGGTGTTTCATCCTAGTTTGGGATTCATTATCAGTACGCTTCCATGACTATATTCAAGCGACGAACCTAGGATCTTTAGCTTGCGAAGTAAGCTCATCGACTAATCAACCATTGAGATAGAATTCAATGGCCGGCTCATGTATCTTAACTTCTACTAACTTGTGATGTATGTGATGCCACCGGCAGCCAATATCAGTAGCTAGTATCCACTCTTTCATATCCGATTTTGTGGACTCAACTGGTCACAGAATGAAAATAATAAATAAATATTATATATATACATATACATGCGTCGGTGGCACAGCGGTTAAGACGCTTGCCAACCACGCACATGGTCCAGGGTTCGATCCCCGGCGGACGCACTCTTTTAACTCGCTAAACCAGTAATAAGACTGGTAAAGAGGAAAGGGTGGACATGAGGCTAGCAACCCCATCCTGTAAAATTAAAACACTGCTATAGAATCTTCAAGCCACTCGCTTGGGGCCCTATGTTCCACTGGGAACGTGAAGGAAATAAAAAAAATATATATGTAAAATATACTTACACCTTGAGTAAAAATCTGTGGATTTCCAGACTCAAGCATATCTTCCAATTCTTCATCTGTAACTGATCGCCGAGCTAAGCAATTCATCGGTGAAAAATAAACAAAGCATATAAATTTAACTTTTTTATTGGTAATTAGTATTATAGTGAGCAAAGGGTATATCAAAGATATCTACTTCAATATTTGAAAACTGAAGGTGCTTAGTCATCAAACTGGATGACATCGCTAAAGAGGAAGATGTGGCCATGATGATCAGTAGAATATGAACATGTTACTAATAGAAGAGAATGCAGAGGGTCTATAGTCTGCAGTGAATATAGTAGTGAAGACCACAGATGATCTACCACCACCTACCTTTCAAGTAAACATTCACCTCCTTAGCATAGGTACTTCGCTTTCGGCCAATTTAACTTTAAAATTATGCGAGTAGCAATTCAGAATGATTTAATTACCAAAAAAAACTCATTAACGCATGTCTGATCAATGGTTTTACAGGTGCAGTGGAAACTTGGGACGTAAGACATACACGCAAAGCATTTACCATTAATGATGTGAACGCTTGTTTAAAGATGGCATACAATGTTTTAGTAGTGGCTGCTACAGAATAACTTTGCCCAGTATTGAATGAACAAGTTAACTAAAAATCCATCAGATCAGTGTCTCTATTGGTCTTCTTCTTCACCTGAATGAAATGAAACCAAAGTCTAACCAGCAAAAGGATGATATTAGTGAGGAAACATGATAAGATATAACAGGTATTCGGTTATTAAGCTGCTCATCAAGGTTGGAATTTTACACAGACAATAAAGACTATTGCTTGATCGATTGAATTACACTAACATAGTGTATAACTCTTCTATTTTCTTATTGAATAAACTTCTAATTCATTCAAACAGGAATGAGAAAACAAGGCAGTACAGCCAAGCTGTCTATTTTTGCTACACAACACACTACATTACAGAAACTGAGAGATTCACTATCAGTCATGTATGATATTCATTCATTTATTTATACGTGGGACTATGAACCACATATATTGTGTGGGGGTTGTTGGCAAAAAAAAGATGGGGAGGGACTCGAACCTGGGACCCACCCAATAAATGAGTCACATTTCCAACAGCCATTATTTATACTTCAATAAATTTTAATGCTTATCTCTACATATCGCTTTCAATTATCACAATAAAGTGGATTTTCCTCTCTCAAGAATACCACCAATCATCTTTCCAATAATTGATTGGACATGATCAGATTCCAGCGTTGTGAAATGCACAATCTAATCAACTTCAATTGTATTCATAGTTTCCTTGCTTGTAAGCGCCTATGCCTATAACCATACAATGTGAAATTAGGTACAAAAAGTGTTTCATTATACAATTAAATATTTTTTAAAGAAACTAGTGTAATGTTAATCTATTACAGTGTTGTTCAAAGACACGTACACGACGAAAACACATAAACATAAATATATATGCACACTTAACGAAATCAAATGGTATTCTTTTTGTTGTTGTTGTTGTTATTGAAGAAAATGGAAAGAAAAATCAAACCATAAAAAGAAAATTACTGCAAGCACCAAAGACTATGGATTATTATTAAAAATGTCAACAGAATGATGATGATGATGATATTAGAATGTGATGCTAATTACGTTTACGGAAACAATGATGACATCAATACCAACACCAAAACACACACACACACACAAAGAAACTCGTGTTTTGAAAGTTAAGTAAAAGCAAAGCAAAGCTGAAGAATAGGTGAGCAAAAGAAAACTACAAACTAAATATGTTGAACTCATTGTATTTCCAAAAGAAATATGGCAATAAACTTAATTATCAGAACACAAACCTGGTGCAGTATAGACATCAAGAGACGCATCACAAGAAATCTCATTGTTTGCGTGGAGGTTGGAATACTGTCCGGACGGACGCCCAGACCGAAGCGAGCGCTGTCTTCAGGGGTTTGACCCTCAAGTATTTGACTTGAAGTCTGGCCCACTAGACAGTCAAGCAGAGTTAAGAGCCATCTATGTCCAGTTTCCAGTGGTTTCCAGTGACCGCACAACAGATTCATACGCCATTCGCTGCTTGGGATTCTACAGTCTATGTATTGACACATAGGCTTGGAATTAGGGTTTTTCAGCCTCCCTAAGTAGATCTGCTTGCTCACGAGTTCAGTTGTGTGTCCTAGACTTTTGCACTTACCCTTTTACTGTTGTGAGGAAGACCTCTACCGAGTCAAGGCGATGAACAGAACTTACTCAGCAGAAGTCATAAACTGAGTATGGCACAAAATACACGAAGTATGTCCAAAACGAATGAGTCAACCAACAGGTTTGAACGGGTAATTCAAAGACAATTAAGTACGCAAATAAAAGAACATATTATTCAATACAAACTTGAAATAAGGCAAAGTGTGTAGGAAAGAAACAATGGAAAGGCACAGTGTTCTTTGAATGAAGAGAGAACAAAACACATCAATGTGAGATGTTTCTGTTACATTTTCTATTCAAAATAAACTGAAATTTTTGTTTACAAACAAACCATTAGATAAATAATGTTGAAAGTGAATGCTGGTGAATACTGCTGAACTTTGGTATAAAGTTTTACACAGAAAATTCAGTTCAGATAATTAGAGTCATTGACTGGGATCAGTAACGGGATGAAGACACAAAACCTTAGGTGTAAACAGAAACTTTTTTCAAATAATGCACTGCAGATTACTGACTTTTAGCTTCATCTAATGAAAATACAGTTATATATTTTAGGCAGTTTAAGAATCATATAATAGTGAAGAAAAATCTCTGAATTCATACCTGCTGTGGATAAGGTTAAGTCACAGTTTTATTACGGATAATGTGAAATCAAAAGGAGCAATATTTAACAAAATTTCAATTTTGACTGATAGATAGATCAATGCAGAATTTCGCATAGGAATTACACTTCAAAAAAGCACAGAGAGTGTGTGTGTGCAGAAGAGAATAAGAAATAGAGTGAGATTTGCAATGCAGATGATGTCAGGATGGCGCAATAATTTAATGAAAGATGTTCAGTAACCTACCTGACGCCATTGTCAACTATCATTGATTTTTAACATCCCAAAAAACTTATATCCGTCAACGTAGATCAGACCAATAGTTAATCGATGCATGCATGGATAAGTTCCACATATTTTTGGTATCACAACAGCTTGATTATTGAATAGTGATCTAGCATGGGTAACTTATGTATGTCCCAGAAATCTCTCAACCGACGAGATCATATTTAAGATAGTTCATTGATTAACTCTCCTTACCTAACACTCTATATACATCTAACCCCATTATTATTATCCATAATAATTCCATCCCACTTCAGTAGTCAAACGAAAGCGTTCAATATTCTAACTTTAGTAATTAAAATTCTATCCGCGAAAAACAACAACCAGTTTGATGAAACGATAGTTGTTTTCTTCATTCTTTTGAGTTCCGTCCGAGTGGAACATAGGAATTTCAACCTTTCCTTATTTAAAGTCTCACTGGGGGTGGCATTGTTTGTTCACGGAGTGCGGTGGCTAGCCTCACGACCAACATTCCTGATAGGAATCAGCCAAAAATAGTAATCATCTTATGACTTATTATATGTGATTCATCGCGTCATTTAATGACTAAAGTTTCATCATCTTTTCCTCACCTTCGTCTTAGTCAGATCACCAGCCAATCAGAATATTTATTTTTCGCCTACCTAAGCCGAATCGCCTATCGATCACCTAGAATAATCCATTTCCACTGTATTCAAGTGTTGGTTCGTAAGGATTTGATTGGTTTCAGGATTTCATCATGAGCTGACATTAGTTAGAGAACCATTGGAAAACCTGGGAGTAGTGGACAGCTGTTTCGTCCTAGAATCCCGGTGGGTGCGTACTGATGAAGAGTCCCGAACTAGAACGAAACAGTTGTCCAGTACTCCCAGGTTTTTCAATGGTTCTCTAACTAATGTCAGCTCATGATGAAATCCTATTTCCACTGTCTTGGGCCGACTTTAATGTGGTAATATATATATATATATATATATATATATATATATATATATGACATATTTTTCCTAATAAAATCGTATTCTAAGAGGCCAGTCTTTTTCTTTTGATATTTACGTGGCTAGGTGAAGCAGAAGGCACCACAGACGAATAGGTGTAACTATCATATCAGTCGAGTTGTTCATTGCGTCAGCATTATCATATCCACGCATAAGTTGACTCGGTTACATCAGCTGTTTACGTAATCATATCAATTGACGACAGGTTCATAGCAAATTAGCGCAAAGTTCACTTCAACTGGCGAAGGGGTTATGCAATTCAGTGTCGACATAATACACTTCTCTTTATTCCAAATTTATTATTGGTTAGTGAACTAGGCGAGGTTTATTTAAAATAGCGTCAGCTGAGAATCGGACCTCGATCATGTGGGTGGTTGACAAGCATTCCCTACAACTGAGTCATCGATGCACAATTTGATGAAATGATAATTTATTGAAAAACAACAACAATGAAAGCGATACAAACAGAAAGCTGACACATCCCTTCAACTACACACAATATCATTACTACATGCACATAGAACAACGTCAACAACAATACCAACAACAAGACTAAAAAAGTACAAGAAAGAAAAAACGTAGGTGTATACTACAAACTGGGAAAACAAAGCAAATAATACAATTATAAATATATTATATATATAAGCTCACCAACTTCCAATTGTCGTTTCAATAAGGCTTTACAACGTTCTTTATACTCTATTTGTATTATACCATATTGTTGCATAGTAGTAGCCATACTTTGCGATAAGGAGAGAAACTGTGAATGACACACATACATAAAGGCAAAAGAAAAGTTCACAAGGGGAATAACTCACACATACACACACACACAAAAAATGAAAGTAAAATTAAAACGAGAAACAGATGAAATAACAATAAGGGTTGTTAAAAATAATAATAACAGTAATAGTAACAATTGCATTTAACCGGAAAAGGCCTTTCTAAACTAAATCATTTATAATGTCATTATGAAATCTATGAGCAGTTAGTTAAAAAACAAAATACGAAGGTTATTCTTTCCCGTTAGATTGAATACTCTCAAAAGTATGCCACTATATAGAATAGGTATTTTAGTAAGTGATGAGCAAGCTTAATTCAGACGTCATACACCCCCCCCCACCGTGCTTCCCATGAACAACAAAAAATACAACAAGCAGAAAACATAGAAAAGAATAAAAAAAATCTCCATTTAGACATTTAGAAAGCGAAAGAAGTAAACACCATAGGTTAAACATTCAGGCACACACATACACAAACATGTATACACATATAATAGGATTAACCACAATACATCTAAACAGAAGTTAATTGGTAAGTACATACATTATAACGGGGGAGGAGGGAGTATTAAAAATCATTCTGAGTCAAACATTACACAACATTGGTTTTCTATAAAATCTAAGAAACTACAAAGTATTATATAGAGATTGACGAAGTTGTGCACAAATAAACCGATAAAGTCTATCAGAGGTTTCAATATAAACTCTTAACTTATAGTAGTCACGACAGCCTTTTGTGTTTATTGAAGTGTATGGGCAGCCATTACTTTCCAGCTACCCCGGCACACCATAAATGTTGGTTTATTTTGAAGTAAATAAAACAGAAAGAGTATTAGCACTGCAGAACCACAGAGTCCAAGGGAGAACTTCCTGAGGCCCGAGACATACAACCCCGTTTGAAGTGGATACGAGAATTGCGTTCGTATTGAGATCGTACCGCCTGATTATCATCAGGTAAGTCAGGATGCACGATTTTCGGCATCGACGTTTTCTAAAACCCCTCCTCTTCAAAGTGAAAAGGCAGCATAACTGGTGTGCTGCTTATCTGAGAGAAACGCGTTACAGCCGTTAAATCCTTATTCCCCAGAAGTACGACTTCACTTTTACACCTCCAACATAGTGTAAGCGATTTAAGCTATGATGGTATTATATGCTCGTACCACTAAGTACAGAAATTCTGCAATAGACTATTTAGCCCGTACTTTATGTGACGAAGACTCTGTTAGAAGTCAAACACATAAGTTACTATGTAATTAGCACATTGAATCGACCCTTTCATTGTTCATCTTTCTATCGTTTAATCATAACTCTGCTATTTTATTTTAGTTGGTGTTACTATTATTACTACAATTTTATACTTTATGCATATTTTTCTCCGTATTGCATACAGTATTTTGCTATGTAGTTGCTATAACATTCGTTTTATTATTATTTTGTAATGTGTATTTTTAATTATTTTTTTGTCGTTTTTGAGTAAATTAGATGCAATATTGTACTGAATGCTGAAAATTCCTTGCTGTATCATTAGTACTGTTTTTGGAATAAAGCAAAAAATTATTATTATATTATCTATCGGTTAGCCTTATAGTAGTAACCTATTGTTGTTTGAACTTTGCTCCCCAGGGTACTAGGCAAAAGCAATACTTATCGTGCCAAGGCGGCCGATACTATCCAGTTGCTAAAGCTGAATTAGGTGGAATGGGACTCGGATCCGTGACCCATTGATTGGAAGCTGAGTGCTTCTCACCCCCATCTTCACGATGTACAGTAATTCGTGCATTGCCTGTTGTGTCCACCCTTATATCAACTAAGATTGCTAGTCAAGGGCTCTGTCTTAATTTATCCAACCCCAACCTAGTCTGATGCAGAACGCTCGATTGAGTCTGTGCAATAGATTGCGCTCGATTCGTAGCCATTTCCAATTATATTGTTAATAATAATTAATGAAATTAATTTCAACATTTTAACAGGTTAATGGATTTTCTACAATTAGCTCAGTTCGGCTGTAGTGATCTGTCTCTGTTGACATATGGACTACCATTACAGATACCTTCAGGATGACTAACAGGGGAGGGCATATCACGTATCTCGTCGTGTTCGAGACTTGTCCGCCAGATGTACCCCACACCCCAATGAGTGAATCACGGTGTCCCCCCTGAGGATAGCAGGTAAATATTATTATATGCATGAGTAGATATCACACATTTTAAGTTCAGAGACAATTAGCCCCTGAGAAGACCTATTACTTGTCTAATAAAAATATTAATACGTGGAACGTTAAACAGAGCGAATAGAAATCTGTTTTTCGGTTCCACTTAAAGCACAAACACACATACACTTTTAGAAAAGAGGAGAAATAAATTACACAAATGTTAACAGTTACTGATAACATAATACATAGACATATTAGTAGACAGTGTTAGTCACAAACACACCACCAACAGCAACAACAACATAATAAAAAGAAAACAACATAGACGACGACAACAGAAAACAAGTACTGAAATTGTGGTTAATCTGAGCAAAGCACTACTTTCTGTCTTAGGTTAAAGTCGTTAGGAGTAAAAATATATCGTACTTATATGAGTTAGTTTGATAAACAGGTAGGTAGGTAGGTAGGTGTAATATGATTAGTTTGTTGAAAACTTAATTTAGCTAAAATATATAAAACATACATATCTCAATTTGTCGTTTGATACGAGCTTTGCTAGCATCACGAAAATCTGTTTGAGCTTTATTATACTCTTGCATAACATTCATGAATGATCGAACCATTGTATTGTGCTATCCAAAAATGTCAATAGGAAAGTATATTGTATATGGTATATGACTGACGTGTATACAAGAACACAGATATGTCAATATGGAAAACAAAGGAAATGGGTGATGCTAGATATATAGAGTATGCCCTTCTTTGATACATAGTAGTATTTTGATGAGGTTACATTCTCTGACCTGAGTAATTTATTTGTGAAGTTCTTCGGCACAACATCTCCAGTGCAGGCTTTAATCAATCACTCAGCTATCAGAGAACGCAACTACATCAAAATCCTCCACACCTGAGCTATAAATCTTCTATTTTTTATTAACATCACAAAAAATATATTAGAAACTACTGAATTTAAGCACGATATGCATACTATTGTGTTTAATGTGATTAGTTGCAAACAAGAAAAGATACTATCAATTATGTATCGACAGCAGCTCTGAGTACATGACATCTAATTCAAGATGTGATGTAAGCTGGATAATCCTCATGACTGAATCCTAACCAAAGCCATTAGAGGAGATTAGACTGCTTTTCATAGTCATGTTCTCATTAGCGGTACAACATCAGAGACTTTATCTTGTCAGACACAAGCAAATGTATAAATCCTAAAATGTATGATCAAAAAAGAATTTGCAAAGCGAGCTCATAGATCATAAAGCCATTCGGATCCGATTCAATGGCCCATAAATTCTAACTTCCACCAGATCACGACACAGCGCGACCTCTTCAGGCAATTACGTGGGAAGCTGTGACCAGCAGGGTACAGCAGGTTGAAGGTGAGTACAGTTACTCATCGAAGAAGATATTGGCTATTGGTCGCGTGATGTTATGAATTGGTAGAAGTTAGAATTCATGATCTGATCATAAAAGAGTAAGTTAAAATCTTTAGATCACTGAAGTTATCCGAATTTTATACATCTGGTTCCCTTGATAAATTTCGATAGAGAAAGAAAGACCAGATTTTTTCTGTCTTCTCTCACCCCCCTTTTTTCTTTCTTTTTTCATAGTTTGACAGTATATAAATTGATGGTAACTTAAACTGTAAATCATAATACTTATATTCCAGATACGTTCACCTTATAATGTTTTCTCTATTACCTTTCAAACAATGAAGTACGAAATGTTATGATTTATAACCATTGTAATTTCAGGTAGTTTGCAGTTAGCTGATGAGAACCTGTGAAATAAAATGATATCATTTTATACTGCAAATCTGGTCTTTCTTTCTCTATCGAAATTTATCCGAATTTGTACAACATTGGAAATCAGTAGCGAGCTTTTGAACTGAATATCGTGAATCCATTTTATATCAGTGTTTCCCTACATTTGTGTACAACCTGTAATATTTCTTACATCACATTACATAGTACAAATGTTTGGCGTACTTGAATTCATTTGTTAGAAATCGATAATATTATAGTTGGTACAAAAAGGTATTCGATATGAGAGTTGTGTAACTAACTTCTTAGCATACAAGGTTTTCTGAGAATATTAACATAAATAACGGTTGCGTTGGCAAGCATATTGCCTATAAGCAACCAAAAACTATGCGACCCATGGTAATGAAAGATTGATAACACCTCTTTTTTGATTGGGTGGAGGATTTCATCATGAGGTCACATCAGTTGGAGTACCATTGGAAAAGAAACTGGGAGTACTGCCGGATAGATCTTTCCTCCATCCTAGTCTGGGACTCTTCATCAGTACGCACCCACCGTCAGGGGTTGAACCCAGGACTTTCTGGTTAGAAGGTGAGCTAGCTCGTAGACCATTAAGCCGTTGGACTAGGCTATAGTGGCTTGATGCCTCCTAGATAAGTGAAGGAAGTAACTTCTGTTAAATCTCTCCCGTTGATGGTGATTCGTGCTGGTTTTTGTTGTTGTTACTGTTCAATGATTATCTTCATCACCTCCGTCTTCTCTATGTTCACTTGCAATCCCGTCTTCGCTTCCCCCTTTAACCAGTTTGGTAGTTTTTGCCTGTAAGTCTTCGAGTTTGTGTAACATTACACATACACTGTCTGCAACATCCGGATCTTCTAAAGTCTTTTCATTTGTCTCCTTGCTCCCCACAGTATCTATAAATTATCTTCAGATAAGCAGGAATCATTATTACTACTGGATTTGTTGTTTGTTTTTTTACTTTTTTATCATAACCAATTTAATAACTTTAACCTTGAAGTATTGGATGTAACAAAGGTTGTAAAACTTCAGTATCTATCTACGTCAAATGACAATACAATCTCACTACAAAGCAATAAATTGAAGGAATATCCAAAAAAGGCATTACACACATACACCCTTCCTAAAGTCGACAAATAATTGATTAAATAAATAAAATTTCTATCATTTGCAACAGTGGGAGGAAAACTTGTAGCTTAGATGGATGTTTCTGTTTGTTGTGAATAGTGTTCTCCACGCTGAGTGGTTTAACTATGAGGCTTTTGTTGTCCATTCACACATTATCTTCAACACTTTTTTTTTATTATTTTTTTTATTTTTGATTACAGCTTGATTCCACACCGTATTTTTGGTACAAGTATGGAATTTTCAGTGTGGATATCGGTAGCCCAAATTTTGCAGGCCGACCATAGATATCAGGTGTGCGTCTAGAAGAGTAACGAAAGCTTATTTATTTTGACGAATTGCATGAAGGTTTATCATTATTATTATCTCAATGACACTACCTGCAGAACTATCAGAACAGAGGACACTCGACGCATAAGTCGAGAGAAGAGAGGGGCAGGCAGAGAAGACTCAAGGCCACTTATTTTTTACAGTGAGCCAAACCACCAGCTGAAGATTCGAACAGTATACATTGTCTCCTTACTGCATAGTACTTCACTATCCAACTTTCGTTGACACATAACGCTATTGAAATTAAGCATTTAGTTATTTTCTATGCAGGCATTGTGTCGGTGTGATTCAAACATTTAGATATTCAACTATAAAGTAAAAAGCAAATCAACTTCTATCCCCTTCTTATACGACTTTGAATAAAGCTGTAAAGCTATAAAGGTACAGTACTTGAAGGAATATGCATAAATATCAATCAATTTGAAGTTACCTGAGTTTTACGAATACGTAGATCAGCTGATGCATCATCCTTAGCTTCCTGTACTTTGACTGATTGTTCCAGTGCTATGAAAACAATTTTTGGGATATGCGGAGGGGGAGGGGGAAAGGGTAAAACGAAGGATAAAATAGAGAAAAAAACAATTAACAGGGTGAAAGTATCAAAGCGTAGTCAAATGTTATAAATTAAAAAGCTTCCAACACGCTAGAAATATATATGAAATCAGGCTATTATTGACATATATGTAGGGGAATTTCAGCGTTGTGGAGGTATATGGTCACTTGAATCAGTGTATAACATCCTAACACACTTAACAAGCCACATCTTTTGATTGATGACTGATAATTCTATGAAACGGTTTAAACCATAGTAGGCAGAGTGGCGCTGGAATCAGATATCTCTACAGGATGAAAACTAAAGCACAGATTCCTGAGAAAACAGAACTCTGAACAGAACTGTAATACTGATAAATGTACAACAGTTATACCACATAGACTCATAAAATGTACAACATCAACAGTTTGAATAACAATCAGTTAATTCATTAGCCAATAAAAAAAATCACAAGTGAGGACCGATAATCAGTGCTAGAATTAAGACTGGAATTTGAGCACTACGATAGATTATAAGTTCATACTAGATAAGGTTATTTGATACAGCACAAGGTGATATAGTGTTAATAAGATGATAAAGACAGTTTACTTTTCATAATTATATCCGTGTATTTCAACGATTTCTCAACTTCATTTGCACAGTTTTTCTTAATTCATCCTGTATTTTAATGTAATTCCTCATATATTCGGGATAGGTGTTGCGTTATTTCGATTACAGGTATTACGTATAATATTCAATGAATCAGGATTCCGTGATTAAAGTCTCTCTCTTTCTCTCTTCATCCAACTACATTACTTCTTAATACCGGAAAAAGCTCGACCATTCTTCGCAACTGAACTCCAACTACGCTTCTCCACGAAACCAATGATTCGCATGAAAGTGAAGGATAATGTACCACTGTTGGCTACCTCATCAATATGCATCTACCAATTAACCTGATCGTGTGGAGCTAGATATGTCGGCCATACTCAACATTTCCTATCCAAACATATCACCGAATACCTACCCACAGTCATGGTTTTATAAAAGAGAAAAAAGGCCCCCACCAAGCTCTTTCCTGGAACATGTGATCGAATCGGAGCACCATGCTAACCAACAAAGGAACTTTAAAGATAATACTTGGGAGTCTGGCTAAAAGAGTAGGAATAGAAATTCTTCAATCCGCAGAAGCAATGGCGATTCACATATTTAAACCTGAACTCTGCATACAATTTGTTCAATCATTAAATCTACAATGACCTGACCTATCTTAACAACAAATACGTAATTTTCGTTTCGTCTTTTTCAAGTGTTGGTTTTGTAGGGATTTGGTTTGATTGTATGGAGGATTTAATCATGAGCTGACATCAGTTAGAGAACCACTGGAAAACCTGGGAGTACTGGACAGCTGTTTCGTCCCGTTTTGGGACTCTTCATCAGTACGCACCCACCGGGGTTCGAACCCAGAACCTTCTGGTTACAAGGCGAACAGGCTCGTAGACTATTGAGCCAGTGGGACCCGATTCAATGGTTCTTGACTTCTAACTTCTGACAATTCGCGACATAGCGCGACCACTTGCTTGTTTGTTTCTTAATTGTATTATTTCTTTCCCCTACCCCTTATTAAATCTCTACCCCCTGATTACCACAGTTGCTGACTTAACTTTTGCTCAATTTTAATTTTAGTTGAGCTCTACTCAACCCAGTAAATCATATTATGTCACTCAACTTATTGAATTTTTATTCTAGTTTCAACCCGATTAACGCCTTCTACACTACGTAATTTGTTATCGAAAATTTACAATTTTAATGACACATGTTTGGAAATATTCTTCTTGTGGTTGAGAGAATTTACTTCAATCTATGCGATTGTACAGCTTGAGAATGATTTCGCTGAATAGAGGAACTCTTCGCTGAAGGCCTTTTCTTTTACATGACTCAGTGGGAATTATGAGGTTGCAATTCAATCGCTTGCATGCAATTATACAATAGGGTAAAAATATTAAGCAGTAACATAATTAAGTCAATACTGCAGGAGTGAATCACCGAATGCTCGTTCAATATGGAAAAAACCACGTAGAGATTTAGAAAGCAAAAGGACTGAGCGAAGAAATATTCCCTTTTCAATGAGCTCCTCATCTCTGGCTATACTCTAATATATCTATGTGCATCTACCAGTTTGACTGCAGCTGAGAAGCCGGATAGATTGGGTATAGAATTACACAGGTTTATCATCGTATTTCCAAACATCGTCCAGCATGGTTAAGCAACGGATAAACAAGATCTGTTCGAAGCTATGTTTTAGCACACCTTGTAAACGATGCATTTGAAATTGTTTCTCGCATTCCTACTAATTTTAATTTTGCTTTACGAGTTCGTCTTCCACATACAACTAAAGCTATCGGAATTCACCTGAAGAAGCCATGTCCGTGTGTCCAGAAGAAACTCGTATAGTCACTTCTCTTATCTTGCCCATTGTTGTATGCATGCAAAAGCATAACTACTTCATCCTCCCAGTAAGCCTTTTAAAATGTAATTGTCCAAATTATTTTATTCTTACAACTTCTTCACCTTTAATCGCCTATCACGTAGTCGACTCGAAGACTTTATCACTATGTATTTTACCAAAATTATGCATTATGCAATCTGTGTGTTGCAACCATTTCTACTCTTTAATTGTTTATATTATTTTTTAGGTTAATTATCGCACACACACACACATCATTAACATGTTGATACTGACTGATTATTGTTAACAAACTTATCGCCATTAGATTGGTAAAACTGTTTTGTATTGTATTGAAAATGCTATATCTGTTAGAGCAGAGTCAGAGATGAGGATCTATTTTTTCGCTCAATCCGTTTGCCTTCTGAATGTCTGTTCATCGAATTAACACCAAACACAGGAAGTAGAAATGATGGAACAATAGGAGGGAATAAAGCTAATAAAGCTAAAGCAAGCTAGGAAGTCGTGTTGAATACACTGACACGATTAACAACAGTGAGTTGTGCTCGAAACGTTACCGAGTTATTAACCCTGTATCACTCTATGTTAATATCAATTAAGCTTACGTAATATAGAAAAATGCACCGTGTTTCTAACTTATTCCAAAATTGACTGACTAATTAAATCAAAAATATTTCACTTTCAATGAACAAAGACTAAAATTTTGAATTAGTTTTCGAGTACAACTGTTTACTTCGGCGACGAATACTTCAATGCCACCCCACCCCGAATGATGAATTGATTGATAATGGGGAAGTGAGTTAGTGGTTGCAGATTAAAAGTTATATGTGTATTAACAACAGAAAACTTTGAAGTAATCCAAAACGGCAGTTTGCCCTTCACAGACTCGGTGACTCTGGAAATCGATTCACAATTCTACCGAAAGTGCTTTTCTCAACAATCTGGACATGCAAATCTTGAAAAATCTCGGGCATGTTAACACCTTAAAATTCAACATTTATTAGCGGCATCTTCTTCAGCGCCATGCGACTTCTTTCAGACTGATGCTTTACTCTCATTGATTGTTTTTGTCGATGAATCTTCTAATTTACTTAATTTGAATGAGAACTTGTCTGAGTCTTTTCAATTCATCGTTGTTTATACAACTGGTAGAGATTTCTTTTTATCCTTGAAGATACAGAGCAGATCAGCCAACGATGGAAATACGTGCAATGATTATTCTATATTGGCTTACTCTGTGTGTGTGTAGGAAAAACTGCCGTTTTAGGCCACTTCAATGTGTGTTCATAAATTCCCTATCTGCTGTACAGCTAGTTATATTGGCTACACAAACTGCACACTTTCCAAACACATTTGAAAATATTATCAGACACGATCACCAAGTTAATTACTAGCTCAATTCTCGAACCCCTAGCGTAATATCTTTTTTTGCTTTTTCTATTCGCATACTACTGATAACATAAGCATCGATCATTATTATAAAGCAAACATCTACACTAATCAGTCATTTGATGTAAGTATGTATATTGTATACACAGGTGAGTGACCTTATAATTCATTTTGTTCAATAGAGACAAATACATTGAATAATGCTGTAACTTTTTTTTTCGATTTTAATTTGCATTTTTTTATATATGTAAAATAGTATTCTGTCTGTCTAGAGGCTTATATACTCTATTCAGCATGTATCAGGTTTTCATATTCTGTCGTATACAATCAATGATAATTTAGCCATTGAGAGAGAGAAAAAAACCAAATACTGTAACGATTGTAAAATAGGTAAGAATTAAACATTTACAAAAATGCTACAAACTTGTCCATGTATGAATGTTACTTAACAACAGTGAGTAAGTGTAATCTAAGACTGACGAAGTTTCAACAGAGGAATTTGTGCACATAAGTGCAGCACAGTTTGAGTTGCCACACTCCATGAAGTACACAAAAAGGTAAGCAAAAGACTCATAAACACTATGGTAAGCAGAAAGAATAGTAACACAGAAAAACATTACGGTCCAATAGATATGGGAGAGTACAGAGAATGAATACATACGCACTATTGAGAACCATCTTGCGCTATATCTTCAATAGTCTCCACCTATTGGTTCTTAGCATTCCAACGATCCCAACCAGGCAGCCTACAACCAACCTCCCCAAGTGGTTTAAACTAACTGCAAAGATTGCAAGGACTACTCGACTATCTGACTATCGACCAAAGGGCAGGTGCACTGCTCATCAGTCAGCTCCGTCTTCCTTTATGGCTGTGAAACCGGGAAATTGAGAGTGGAAGACATGAAAAGATTAGCTGTCTTTGATCATAGGTGCCTGCGTTCTATCTCCCGTGTGAAGTGGTATAATAAGGTGAGCAATATTGAGGTTAGGCGTCGGTCAATTGCTAGGTAGGCGGGAGGGGAAATCAATCGACGAGGCTGTGAAATTACATCGATTGAGATGGTTAGGACATGTGTTACGTATACCTAGTCATCGCCTTCCTTGACGGGCAATGTT